CTCACATATTGACAGTGGCTTTATACAAAATCAGTATTTATGACAAGTATAATTCATATGTGGAGGATATTCATATTTTGCATTAGAGTGTTTAGACATTAAAGACACAATGCACAATCAGACGCAACCCTTCATAACACAGAAAAAAACTCTGCTTCCCCCACAATGCATTGCACTGCATGTATAACTAATTATATGAGTTGGCCCCAACCTGAACAGTCATAAGTGGTGGATAGTGCATGACATAGAAGAAAAGGCAAAAAAATAGCCTACAACAAAATCATAAATAACTAAAATATTTACCAAAGACTGAACTAAAAACTAGAACCATACTCCAACTCTTAACATGCAATGGTAGCAACTGATAATAATCTCTACATTGGCAATGGAAGTCTTACACTGTATCTTGTATGGTAGCACAAGCTGCTTCATTGGAATTGCAGAGAGGTAAGAGAACAAGAACAAATGGTGTGAGCATTACTACAGTATAGAACTACCATCTATTACCAATATCTTGGTCATCATCCAGATAAGTGAAAGTTAGCCTGCACTTTCATAGGCTTGGACTTAATGAATTTTCCTTGGGAGTGTCTGATAAATTTTAAAGCAGGATCCCAGGTTGTCTGTGGACACATTTCTTAAATCAACTTTCATGAATTAAAAAAAACATGCTCAGCTGACATAACACAGTCTAGCAGAAAGTATCTTGACATTGCTTCTCTTGTAGTTCAGTAGTCTAGTTTGCTATTGTGTAAAAGCCTGGGTCTGGCTTCATTACTACCACCAGATGGTACCAAGATTAGAAACATTCAGAATTCATCAATGATCTAAATCGTTCCAGTAACAGGATAATGATCTTGAGCAGTTTTAGTGCAAAGTGTACATGCATAGTGAGCATTACTGTAACAGCTGGTAACTAGTGTGCAGAGGACAGGCTTTTTTTTGCTCTTAAAGGTTCTGTATGCATCATTCAGAGCATTAATATAGCAGCAAACCACTATTTGCTATGTTATGATAAAGTGGAGTAATGGCATACTGAGTAGAGAATGAAGTCACACTATCTGTGTGTGTGTTGTAATCATGGATGTATAAAAAGGACTGCATAAAAGATCGCAGGTGGGGCCCTGTTAACTCCTATGGAAGTTGCTCAGTGGCGCATCAGGTGTAAATTACCCTGATCTTCTGCTTTGCTCCCTCACGGGTCCCATAGACCCGTGAGGGAGCAAAGCAGGGACTCTGTTTGGGGAGACGAAGCAGCAGAGTGCAGAGCGGAGAGAATTTGTGAATAACTTAACTGTTTGTTGATTCCAATAGAACTATAACACTTTGTCCAACAGGACTCTCATTTTAGTGTACAGTGTCAGACTGAATTTATGAATGCACCACCGCAGGTCACTCACTCTCCGGGACCACAAGTGTTACTTGAGTAAGTAAACACTGACCAATGGGACCAGACTGGCCAACCCGTATGCTCTCACTCAGTGCATGGCTGATTTGACGAGATTGCTGAAGGTGGGATGTCCAGCTTTGTGGTTGATTACTATGCCAGTCTTACAAAGGAACGGTTTCCTCTGGTTTGTTGTGCTATCAAAACTAACGTTAGCTAATGCGCTAAAAAGTTAGTGTTATGGAGAAATCCAATATTTCTCTTAAGACCCCCCAATTTCTGATTAGATGGACATGATAACCCTTAATACACATAACATCATTCATCCCTACAACAGTAATACTTTTTGCCTAACCTGATATGAAGTGTGCGCTGCACATGTGAGCATTTTTAATGATGGCCTCCATCCAGTACTTTTGTCTTATCACATTTAACTAAAGTTGTCTTCATTTTTGTTGACAAGCAGTGGTGGCTGGTATGCGATAAAATTTAGGTTTTGAGCCATGCCTCCTTCTATTCTGGCACACAATAAAGAGTCTAGATGGTCTAAATGGTAAGGCTAGACTAGAGGCTTGTTTAGCATTCTGTCAACTTCAGTGGGGATAAAATAATTGAGTATAATTGAGTGTGCCATTCCTCTAGACTTTTGAAATGTTATTGGGCCAACTGGATCAAATCCCAAAAGTGAAATTAGTCATTTCACGGGATTGTGACGCTCAAAAAAATCCATCCACTGATTTACAGATGTCTTTTTGACAATGTAATTCTCTGGGAAAAAGTCTTTTTGGACATCAGGAGCCGGAAATTGTAATTTCACTGCCCAGTGCTGTTCCTTGGGTATGTGGCATGTGTTTATCCCATTGGCTAGCTCATCACTGCCGTTTTGCATAGCCCTCATACAGTGTTTAATGCTGATATCAGGACGTCATTATGGCAGAGGTGTAGTGCCACCCTCCAGTTCTCCCCCCTTAAAATCTTTAGCTCTGTCAGCACTGTTGCTGTTGTTTAGAGCTGTTTATGGAGTTGGCACTGTTAGCTGCTAGCTGCCAGCTCAACATAAATCCAGTGTTTGGTTTGAGATATCAGGCCAAGGGTGGCTCAGTGGCTACATTGTATTCTCTTTTTTTTCAAATGTTGTAATTGCAAAATGATAGAACAATAGAGTTAGATTGAGATTAAGCATTATGGTACATTTCCACAGGGTAGCACAGTGGATCTATGATTTGCATCTCACAGCATACCAGAGTCTATATTCAGACCTGTACCTGGCACCTTACTATGAGCATGTAGGTTTCCTCTGGGTAGTGGCCTACTCCGGTGTTCTGCAGACATCCACATCAAGAAGTTTGGAGACTTGGTGTTTACTGCAATTTTAGCCTGTTAGCAAGCTACTAACCAAAACATCCAAGAGCTGCTCTGAGGAAGACAATCTTGAGATGCCCAATATTGCCTTAAACTACAGTGTCGTGTTTTCTGTTAACACACTTTGTCCAGACATTTCTGGTACCTAAAGTGTTGAATCACTATTACTTCAGTGATTCCCTGACCTTTCATCTTGTGCCACCAACAGATACAGTTTCCAAATGTCCAACACATTAGTTTAAGTTGTAAAGTTTATTTAAGTGCATTATCACACTAATGTGTATCATACTGTATGTACAAAAAATACATAAACAAAACAGTATTAGAATAGGTACTAACACTGTAAGCTGCATTAATAGAGAATGAAGAGAAAATTAGAGCATGTAGAATAAGAGAGTGAAACAGCAATAACTACAAAAATAATGACAATGTATAACAGTCAGTATGTTTACATGCATGGCCATTTAATTGGGCCGCTGTCCTTGTCCCACTATACAAGTGCAGGTGGGGAATCAATTTATTGACCGAAATTATGTACGACTCCGCTATGATAGGTGGCGATATGGCCCCTTTCAGCTTGTTAGTATTGGACCTTTTTGTGGTTGACCTATAATGCACAGACCAAAAACTCGACAAACAAGTTAGCTACGGTTAGCTAGCAGCAAACTGGTACCATGGTACCATGGCCCAATTTTACATCTCTGTACATTTTGTGCTGTTAAATATTTAACTCTTTCAGCTGATACAGCATGAGCTCCGTCTCCTCGTTCCAAAAATGCACATTTCTGGATGTAGATTTTGCCATTTAGTACTATTTGACTTCCAGGTCAAAGCCCGGGGCGGAAACTGTGGAGCATGCGCTGAGTGCCTTGGCCAGTTTGGGTCAGATTGACTGTATAGATGCAAGAGTAATTCAACTCCCAATCGCACTATCTGGGTGTATTAGTCCGACTATCGAGTAAGTACGATTTCAGTTGGAGTAACATGTTTATATGTGTTTTAAAAGTCTGGTTTTAGCCTGATTAACACAATAAATGGATTTTCTCTCATGTCATGCAAACATACTGAATGTTAACAGTTAAACAGTGAAACCAGTGTAGATTACTTAAGTGCAGGTTGAGGGTTACAAAGAGGATACTGTTGGTTATACACTTTTTGGGTTTGAGTCCGGTGTTAAAAGTCTTCAAGGAAGAAGCTACTCTAATGTAGGTGGGAAGACTTATTTTAAAAGTGTGGACTGTGGAAGGAAAAGGCTCTGAAGTCTGGGATGACCTTTCATGCATTCTGAAAAGTAACCCAGACAACAAAGGGTACATACAGGTTTATCTGGTGTAATGAGATCTGAGAAGCAGCCAGGTGCTAGTTAGGGTGAATATTTGGATGTCTGCTCTGACCCTGGCAGTAAAGATAGATCAAGACTGGTGTGATGGGATCAAATGTTCTGGTTAGGGTTTGGATTCTAGCAGCAGTTCAACTTGCAAGCTTTTGACAGATGACTGAGAAAAAGGCTGGACAGGAGAAAATTACAACAGTCAAGTCTGGAAGAAATGAATGCATGAATCAAAACTTCAATGATCTGATAAATTCAAAAAATATATGCATTTGGACTATGTTGCAGAAGTGGTGATAAAAAGGACATAAGGGCCCAATATGCCTCAAACACGAGTTCATACAAAGTGTGGTCTGTACATGTCTTAAAACACAAGTGTTAAAATTTACTCCGAAAGGTCACACTTGAAAATGGGGTAAATCTGTCACCATAGAGAAAGGCAAGATGTGACAAATCGTCAAATGAGGACAATCCTGCACACTTTTCAGACAGTCTCTCTTTGACGGCATTTATAGTGTTGCACTCATTTGTACACAGAAAAAGAAACCATATACCTGGCCAATCACCATGTAAAGTAGGCATGAATGTAGGATTGTCACTTTTGGAATGAGTCGTCTGGCACAGAAAACCAATTCTGATGGGGGAAAGATGTGAGGGAAGAGGGCTCCAGACAATGTTCAGTGATCTGACATGCACTTCATGCGTGTGTCAAATATCCATACCATCATCATCAGGGCATACCATCAAGTAAAAGAAAAATCTTTGAGGAAATCACATACATAGTACAGCTTGCTCCAACACAGCTTGTAAGATTGTCCCCCCCCCCCCCCCCACACCCCCAACACACACCTTTACAACAATAAATTCTAACTTCACAACAGCAATTGCCGTGGTGTGGAAAGGTTTTCATTGTCTCTTTCAAGCCCTCATTTTTTCACACCACGAATGCCTTCATAGAGAGATTGTCTGACGGCATGTGCCAATATTCCTATTTGACTGACGATTGCTCCTTGTCCCTTTCTATAAGAACAGCATTTTCAACTGTAGCCATTTGGAACCAGCAGAAACACGTTTACCTTTACATGTGGTTTGGAGGGCAGTTGTAAAAACAACTTATAAGAAAATCAATGTTCCCGTTACAGCACACTTCATCTGCAACACATTATAAACATACACCCTGTAAAACAAAACAACACATTATCACCATAATGAGGCGTCGCATTTGCATACATGTTGCATTTACCCACTGGTTTACTTTCTAAATATGACTTGTTGCAGACCAACAATCAGGCACGTACAATTAGAAATATAAGGCATATTAGGATTCTTGGTGGGTCTTCTTTAATCATTGCTTTTGCTATAGTACTTATATTATATTTCATATACTTTGTTTTCCAGTAAAGGTCAACCTACAGTGCATCTAAAATTCTTCTTTCATTCCTCATGAAACCATTCATTCAACTATATATCTGACTTTTGCTCTGCTCATGTATGAGAGACTGTGAAATGCTTTATTCTCATTATTGTCATTTCTGTCATCCAGCCCTCCCTCCTCTGCATCTTCTCCTTTTCCCATCATCCTTAGTGGCAATAGAAGCCCAGCATGTTGTTGGGTGGTGGTGTTTACCGCCTGGCAGCAGTGAGCTCCCCCCTTGTCTTTAGTCAGGAAGTAAAGGAGAGCGTTGAGCCATGCGTTGAACGATGCTAAAGGCCTTGTGATCTTATAGCACATGGAGACCATGGTCATAGTGTGACAGGGGACTCCCTTGGTGACCTTTAGCAGGAGAAAGATGGTTCGAGTAACATGAAAAGGGAAAAAACACAGAGCAAAGAGAAGGGTGATGGTGATGATGGTCTTGATAGATTTACGTCTGCGATTGGCATAAGGGGAATGGGCACCAAGGAAAATGGAAATCCCTTCATTTCTTCCCAGTGCCCTTGGCAGTCCATTACTTCCTCTTCTTCCTCTTGCAACTATTGCAGGGCTGCTTCTCTCTCTTCTCTCTATTTCCTCATGTCCTTCATCTCTCCGACCTCTGCAGGATGAGGGCTGAGAATGCAGAGTTCTAAATATGGTCAGGACAACGTGAGAGTAACACCAAGCAATTATGGAAAAAGGGACAAAAAAGCCCAGCAAATGGAGTATGATGCCATAGGGTACATAATCTGGAAATTCCTTATCAATTGCATCATCCCAACAATTCTGGTACTCCTCAATAACCCCTCCCATGTTACCATAGCTGGCATTACCATTTATCAATGATACCTCATGGCTACGGTTGTCAATACTGCTTGCATTGCCACCGAGCACTCCCAATCTTGTCACATGACCAGTCTGAGCAAAACGGAAGATAGGGCAGGTCAAAGCAAACACTACAATCCAAACCAGGACACAAGTGCACTTGACAGCCTTCTTGGTCTCTAGTGTGATGACTTTCATTGGGTGGCAGATACCGAGGTACCTGTGGACAGAGATACAAGTGAGGAAGAAGATGGAGCAGTAGAGGTTAAAGTAAAAGAGAAAACGGACCAGGCGGCACATGAAGTCCCCGAAGATCCAGCGGTCACGCATGATATAACTAGCCACAAGGAATGGCAGTGACAGGCCGTACATGAAGTCTGTAGAGGCCAGGTTGACCATGTAGATCAGTGAAGCATTCCAGCGCTTGGTCCGGCGGAAGGAACGGTAGAGGACGACAGAGTTAAGGGAAATGCTGAAGAGGAACGTAAAAGAGTAACAGATGGGGAGAAAGATGTACTTGTAGGACTCATCTATGCTGCAAGATGGAGATGGAGGGGTAGTGGAGGGTGAGGGCAAGGGGGAACTGAGTAAGTCCTGGAGTACAGATACACTAATGTTGGGAGAAATTCCACCTCTGGATGACATTGTGAAGGATGAAGGGATTTTCATGTGAGGGAGAAGTTGAACAAGGATGCAGCTTGTGTGTTTGGGATTCTGTCAACCGTCTTCTGTGTCATCCTTGTACTCTGTACTGTTTAATGGTAATTTTGTATGGTCCTATACAATGGATTTTCTGAAGATTTCAGATGGTCATATCCACGAATGGGTGTAGACCTAGAGATAAAAACACAAATTAGTCATCCATACTCCTTGAGTATCTCACTTCATCCAATAGTATTAGCATAACAGTGCAATCAGTAGTATTTTACTGGCTCTTTGCACAAAATAGCCATGTCTGTGGTTGCTTTCCATTAGTTTTAATGATACTTACAGCAGGTTCTAATCGACTCATTCTGGTAAAATCTGGATTTTGCAAATGGTTTCAAAGCAAGTCTATAAAGGGTTGATAAAGGCACCTTCCCTGCATTTTTCTCAATACAAAAATATATATATTTTCCAATTACAAATGCCATTGTCCATTTTTATGCTGATGGTACCATCTCACTCGCTTCAAATGGTATCACTCAATCAAATTGCCGTTGTCAGTGGTTATCAGCCTCGTAGATATGGTTTTAAAGGGGGCTGGTACATCTACTAGTAGGATCAGAAGGCTGTTATTGGTCCATTCAATGGTTGTGTTTATTCTTAGGCAGCTATCTCTGATGGCTGTAGTACTTATGATGAAAGCAAAAGGGGAAACCAGGTGATGTAGTATAAAGGTATAGTTTATATGAGTGAATGCAGGCGAGTGACCATTGCCTACCGACACGGTATTCATACAGAATGTAGGCAGTGTCGGATGTGATGCACACGGGAAGCTAGCTTGCCAGCTAACAAATGAATGTTAGTTAGCTTGCTAATAAATACTGCAAAGTATGATGTTATTAGTACATTTTCCACTTTCTTACATTCCATGCATGTTTTGTGTCTCACTAAGAGTGGATTTTAAGACTTTAATGATCACCTATTAGTTTTTTAAGTTCCTCATACCAACTTTGAACTGAAATTGGCTGATTTCTGATATTATGTTAATTCATACTCAAATAAACTGCAAAACAAGTTGAGTTGAAGACACTGATTCCTCTGAAAATCCTTACAGTTCTACCTGTTGATATTTTATTTAATACTTGTGATTGTACAGAACTTTGTTCTAAGGTCTCTCTTGCAAAAGAGATTTTGAACTCAATGATACCTCCTGAGTAATTCACCTTGGCTGCAGAGACAACCAGGCATTTGTAAAACAGGCCAATATCCAATCCAATCCAATCTGCTTTATTTATATGGCACATTGTAAAAACAACAAGGTTATCAAAGTGCTGCACAACAAATTTAATGAACACACACTACCCGGGCACTACTGCAGCATAACAAAGTCCCACTCTTTGAGCATAATACAGGATCATGCATATGCAGCATCACGGAAGACGGAATCCTTGTCGCCAAGAAAGCGCAAAAGGGAATCAAAAAGCATGAACATGACCGGGGAATTAAAAAAACGAGGGGCAACATCGGGGTAGCCTTTCCCAGGTGGGGAGAGCTGCTGAAGGAGAAAGGTAATGCAATCACATACCAGCGCTGCTGTTAGCTGTTAACCGCTTTTAGCACCTGTTAGCTAACAGCGGCTAGCGGCTAACAGTGACAAGTGGCTCAACCTCACACACCTCATCCCTCTCCTCGCATCATTGCGCCACTGTTAGCCGCTGTTAGCTGTTAGTGCTAACAGTGGCTAACAGCGGCGCTGGGCTGTGATAGCATTACCTTTCTCCTTAAGCAGCTCTCTCCACGTGGGAAAGACCCTCGTTTTTTGAATTCACTGGTCACATTGTCTTTTTGATTACCTTTTGCGCTTTCTTAGCAACAAGGATTCTGTCTGCATATTGCATAATCCTGCATTATGCTCAAAGAGTGGGACTTTGTTATGCTGCAGTAGTGTTGGAGTAGTACCAGCGCCAGCAACAGTGGCTAACAGCTGTCAGCGGTGCAGTGATGCGAGGAGAGGGATGAGGTGTGCGAGGTTGAGCCACTTGTAAGTTGTCAAAAGACAAGGCGTGATGGGAACTGCCCATTGATTCGACAGCCCATTGGTTCGACATCCCATTGTTCCGACCATATTAAACTCATTGTTCCGAAGTCCGTTCCGAAATCATCATGATGCCCTGTGGTTAAGGTCTGGTTAGATTTAGGCACAAAAACCACTTGGTTAGGGTCAGGAAAAGATCATGGTATGGGTTAAAATGAAAAAGAAAGTGACAAACAAAAAGCCGTGAGCCTGCTCCGCCTCAAGCTGGTCGCGGCACACCATACGCCCGCCGCGAGCCGTTCAGCACCGCGGACAGTCGGACTAATGGGATGTCGAACCAATGGGCTGTCGAACCAATGACGTGGACCCGACGTGATTGGGTCATTTCGATTTACACCCGCGCCAACAGTCCTACGTTGTAAACACAGCCAGCATAGTGAGGCGGGGGTTTGTCAACTCGCGTTGCGTGTGTCTGTGTAGGAGCATGAATGAATACTCCATGAATTGTATCGTATGACATGGTTTCATCAATGTTATCATAGCTTTTTGGTACACAGCGGCTACCGTTGTTGCAATGCACGTTTGAAACATTGAGGCGCTAGAGTGGACTATCAGTTTGAATGCAATACATGATTTCAGCATTAGATGGGAGAAATTCCTACACACTGTGGCTTTAAGCAATGGGAAACATGGGAATTGGATGAATGAATGGTTTGGTGGTCCCTTAATTTTTTCCGCTAGCGTCATACTCAGGCCAAATTTTAAATTGTCCAGTATTCTGGTTCATAACCATTAGTCTAGTGCAGGCTCGACGCCACATGAACCTGCATATTTCTTTTCAAGCCCAACCTGACTGCGAACTACACCGTTCAGCCAAAACATTAAAAACCACTGACAGGTGACATGAACAACACTGATCACCTTGTGACAATGCAATGTTCTGTTGATAAACCTTGGGTTCTGACATTCATGTGATTGCCACCTGACACACTCCCCCCGCCTAAACACCAGTGCAGACCAGGTACTCCCCCTTATGGCAGCAGCACTCCCCAGTAGCATCGGCCCCCCAGCAGCACAATGCCCCATGCCACACCACGAAAACTCCTAAGGAGTGGCCTGAGGAACATGACAGAGACCTCAAGGCGTTGACCTAGCCTCCAAATTCCCCAAATCTCAGTCTGATCAAACATCTGTGGGAAGTGCTGTTACCCCAGCTCACAACCCAGAGAACCCAAAAGATCTGAAGCTGACGCGTTGGTGCCAGACACCAAAGAACACCCTCCAGAGGTCTTGTGTTTATGCACTGACAGGTCATAGCCATATTCAGTCCAAATAGGACCCACCGCGGATCGGGGGTACCTCTGGTGTACCAGCACGTCCCTCAAATGTTCAATCAGATTGGAATTTGGGGTATTTGAAGGGCAAGTTGACGCCTTGAGCTCTTTGTTCTGTTCCTCAGGTCATCTTTGAGCAGTTTTTGTGGTGTGGCATGTCGCATTGTCCTGCAAAGGGGGTCACTGCCATCGTCAAGTGCTGTCGCCATGAGGGAGTTTACTTAGTCTGCAACGATGCTTGGGTTGGTGGGGCACGTCAAGTAGCATCCACATGAATGCCAGGACCTAAGGAATCCCAGCAGAACATTGCACTGTAAGAAGATGATCAATGTTATCACATCACCCGCCAGTGGTTTTAATGTTTTGGCTGATCGGTGTATGTCCTAGAATAAAAGCAAGGGAGGGGAATCCATTTATTATCCATTTATCCGACTCCACTACAATAGGTGGTGATGTGCCTCCTTACAGCTTGTTAGTACTGGACCTATTTCTGGTTAACCTAATATGTCACAGACCAAACAATCGACAAACAAGTTAGCTATGGCATACTTTACAGCTCTGTACATTTTGTCCATCCGAAAATGCACAGCTCTGGATGTAGATTTCCCCATGTTGTTAAAGGCTTTTTCTTCTGTTACACATTTAATGCTTTTAACTTCAATGTCAAAGCCCCGGGTGGACACTGTGGAGCATGCGCCTGGGCCAGTTTGGTTCCGATTGACCGTATACATGCAGGAGTAATTTGACTAATGTGTATGTAAATGTATTTTAAAGTCTGGTTTTAGTCTGACTAACACAATAAAGGGATTTTCTCTAATGTCATATAAACGTACTGTATGGCCACGGTTTGGGCCTGAGCCTGAAAAACTTTTTTCTATATATGAAAAGATTATTACAAGCTAACATCTAAAGCCTTCCACTGCAATAACAGACATTTATGATACGATCTCTGACATGTGCCTTCTCCTTCTGAATGTTCAGCACAGCCCCAAAACTGTCATATGTTATAACCTATATAATAAAAAGAGAATGTATAACACTTCTCCTCATTTAAGTCTATTTCATTTGAAGAAAAAAACATTCAATATACATTTCACAAGACTTTTTTCAAGTTCATTGAATTATAAAAATAAATTGTGGGAAACATGGATTTTTTTAATTGCAAGAAGAAGACAAAGAGATGAATTCTGAATCAGAGAGGGCTCTTTATTTCATCACAGCACAACTGTATGTTAAGCCCCTTTTACACTGCCAGATTTTCGGCGAATCTTGGGCAGTTTTGCCGGCAAGCTGCGAGCATTTAGACACACGGAGCTGGATTGACGAGTTGATCCGAGGTGCCCGATTTTCCGCCTCGTAGGGTAGACATATTGGCGGAACCTTTTTTGTTTAAAAAGAATGAGGCGCACTTCCGCCACGGGAGGGGCTGTTGATGACTTGTGGGAGGAGCTGTTGATGACGCCGCAAGTGCAACCCACTGGCGGTGGATAAATAGGAAACAGCTGATAGCAGGAATGAGCAGCTAATAGCAAGAGGGAAACGCAAACCTGAAAGAAACTACAGTAAAGATGAGCAACTAGGAAAACAAAGAATTGCGCGCCCTCCTTGTCCTCGCAAATGAAGAGGCTATTAACCGTCAAATGACAGGAACGGTGAAGGATGGGCCAACTTATGAGAGAATCGCAGAAGCATAGATATCATATACAGTAGATACCTCGTTGAGGGCTTCGGCCCATTTCAGCGATGCGTCAACGTCGCCGCCATCTTGGGGAGGTCACGGCCGGCTGGCTAGTACTGTTGTGTATGGAGATAAATCTTCAGCAAACTCGGCGTGCTCACTCAAAAGTCACGTGTTTTTTTTAAGAAGACAGAAATTTTGTGTCATGGATGGATTGGGGTTTACAGTGTATGTTAGCTCGCTGATGTTAGCATTTAGCTCAAAGTATAACTTCTGTCTTCTTAAAAAAAACGTGACGTCTTGGCTTGTATTAAAGGGGAGGAATGGAAAGAGGTTGTGCTTCCTACCACCCTACCCCTTTGACTGTTTACTAGGGCCTTTGCACAATCTGTTTGACCTCCTGTTGTATGCTGCTGATTCTTAGTGCTTGTTTGCCTTCCTGTGTACAAGGGTATGCTGCTGATTCAGTCTCTTCTCACCCCATTAACTCAGCAATAAGTAACCACACTTCCCCTAGGTGTCTCCATGCACCCCTCCGTATGCTGGTCTTGCTCTCACTCCAATGACAATGAACTAGATCTCATCAGTGCTGTCTTTACAATCCTAAAAATATTTTATGTCTCATATAGATGGGCTACATCATCATTATAGTCAACACAACTGAACAGGATTCACTCAGGCGATGCTCCAGCCCTCAGCTGAAAGCCTCACCATCACCCCTGCATATTAGGATCATCAGCTCACAGGCAGGTGCAGCTGTGCGTGCTTGCGTAAGTGTTAAGTGTGACATCCGCAGGTGATACCACCACTTCACCTCAGAGTTCAACCAAATAAGGGTAATGTGTCAACCAGTAACATGACATATTAACAGTGCGATACAAATAAGATGTAAAAGGTCTACGCTCCATAAGCTGAATATGGTCTTACAACCTGCGGGGGTAGTCTCATCAATATGCTGAAGTTGAACAATTCTGACTCAGAGCTAAAAACACAGAGAACGTGTGACATTTAGACTTCCTTTTTGGTGTGTAACTGTCAATGAAATAACCTTTTAATGTAGGAAAACCATTCAGACAATAAGTTTTAGCACCTTACCTAAAGTTGCAGATTATTTTTGAATAATCTGCAACTTTAGGTAAGGTGCTAAACTTGCAGATTATTTTGAATACACAAAATATTTTTTTAGATTTTTTTTTTTTTTTTTTTAGATTAGAACAAGATGTTTGAGTGCTGTAACCAGTTGCAGTGTACATCAAGCCTGCATCCATTTTCCTGGCAGATTTATTATTATATGATAATGGCATCAAAATGGAGATACATTTGTCTGCACTGGGTTACCTCTGACCTATGATGTTACTTTGACAAAAATAAATGCGCTTGATGTTCAGTGTTGAAGGATTATGCAACTCAAGCAGGTTTCAAGAGTCTGGATTTTACACTGTAAAAAAATGAATGGAAGCCAAGAGAGATGTTTTGCATGTTTTCGCCCATTAACAAATAAAAAATTGACAAAATATTAAAAGATAATCCATCCATTACAGCCAACCATTTAGCAAACAATGGTGAAGTGTTTTATAAATTTGAATACATTTGTACTTCCATTCCAGGCCTCCAATGGCTTTCATTCATTTTTCTACAATATGAAAATCTGTTCGGACAGCACAATGAGAGCAGTTTTTCCTTACAACATTAATATGTGAGACAATTTTACAATTGCTGTAAAACTTGAATTAATAAATCACTCAACTCTTTAGGACAGGCGTCTATATGGTACAGGCTTTTATTTCTCTTTTACAAAACTGTTGCTGTGCTGTTGTTGTTGATGAATATTACTATAACTTTTACTACTAACTAATGTCAGCTAAACTGGGTAGCTAACAACCCAGTTTTGTACATCTAAAAAACTACTATAAAATGAACTGCCTGGCAACCAGCCAGGCCTCTAATTGAGACAGGCCTTTATTTGTCAAAATGTGTAGCTATACTCAGCTAGCAAAAAGGGACTGGGTATTTATTTGGGACTAGGCTTTTAATTCAAGTTTTACAGTATTTAGACTGATAAAGAAAACTTAAATGGAGCTCTATATAATATTCAGAACATTAATATAGCAGTAAACAGCTATTTGTTATGTAAAGACACAGTGGAGTAATGGTATCCTGAGCAGAGAATGAGGTCATTTTCCCACTATGTGTGCTCTGAGTTCCTTCTTTTGTTGTTCTGGTAGACGGTAAAGCCACACATGCATGTTAGTGCATTTGACTTCCTGTGAATTTCTGTGTGTGTATCCCTCCGGCTAGCTAAACGTCTGCAGTCTGCAACTGCGCTCATATGGTAAATGGTAAATGGACCTGCATTTGTATAGCGCCTTTCTAGTCATCTAGTGACCACTCAAAGCGCTTTTTACACTACAAGTCACGTTCATCCATTCACACACACACATTCCATACAATACCATACAAGGTGCCACCTGCTACTCAGTTTTTTTTAACACACTCACACACCGATGGAACAGCCATCGGGAGCAATTTGGGGTTCAGTATCTTGCTCAGGGATACTTCGACATGCAGCCTGGAGGAGCCTGGGATCGATCCACTGATCTTTCGATTGGTGGACGACCCGCTATACTTCTGAGCCACAGCAGGCGGTTACCTTGGAAGCCAGAGTTCAGAGCTGGGAATGACATTGCACCCAAGTTGACCATGAAAACCGGCAGTTGGTCAGTGACTTCCAGCGTCAGACACTGACAAAAAAAAAGCCATCCTTTCATGTCAGCATAATACAAGGATGGACGCCATTAAACAAGTGTCAGGGGGAAACGCGGCAGGACAACAAGGAAAGTAAGGCAGCGAAAAGTCTGAGTGGGGCGGGTGGTGGGTGGGTTCAACAACCACCCACTTTCACCCGAAAGGCTGGTATTCATTCTCCATGTGAATGTAAAGCGAAGCCCTGTTCTTTTCTCGTAAACCCAGCCATATGCATGCGTTGGCTAAACGTAACCATGTGCGTTAGTTTTTGAAGGAAAAAAACGTCAATTTGCAGTGTTGTGATGTAGTGCATTTATTTTGAAATAGGCTGTACACAAACTTCCTGTTAAAACGGAAATGTATTTTGAAAACAGACAGTGCATGTAACAGGCAGAAGTTGACATGACGTCCCAGAATGTCCATGACCAACCGTCGAAATGTGACGGGGTCAGAAGGAGAATGTGTTCGTGTTCCAGTCAGAAAACCAAAATTGTTGTTAGCAATACCTGTTCTACCTAGGTTAAGCCACTGGTAGCAAGTTGTAGCCAGTTCAAGCCAGGTTAACCATTGTCAGCAATACTAGTTAGTAACAATGCATAAAGCTGTATTTTGGGCATACAAACACCATAGTGACATGTCCACATAGTGTTAATAAACAGAATATTACTACACTTTTCACTACTGTTGATACATGGAGAAGACATTTTGGATTTTGAAGTCAGGGTTGGTGAGGTTCTCCTAACTTTCTGAGTCACAAATATGACTGCAGGGTTTTTTTTTTTCAGTTTAAATTTCCTACTGAAACCAATAGATACACTCTGAATATTATATAGAGCTCCTTTAAGTTTGTGTCTGACTTTAAATTAAACTATATTGAAAATAAATATACCAGCTGTGTGTAACAATATTTCCCCTCACCTTGCTGCTCTGCTGCACATGCTAACATTAGGTTAGAAACCTGGTTATATCTATACAAGGTTAAGTTCCTTTAGGAGAAATATAGCTGGGAAACTCGGTTTCACACATACATGACGTTTACGAAAACATGCTACTGAACAAATCCAGCTATTAAACAAAAATAAATTAAGTAGCGCTGTGATGGATTATACAACTCTAGCATGTTTCAAGAGTCAGCTAATAGCTTTTTTATACAACACAGAAGTCAATGAAAATGAACAGCTGCCTGAAACGATAGGAACACATTTAGTACAAATCACATTGTTACATTAGTGACAATTTTTTTGTTTGGGACTTTGTCTAAGATCTTTTTTGTTTTGTTTTTAAGCATGGGATTAGCTTGAATTTTATGGGTGATCAAACCCTGCTGCTGCTGAAGAAATGTAGTAGTGGTGACCAAACAAAAAACCCTTATTGTTAAAATAAATTAAAGTTTAAGACTTCCTGTGACTTCAATGGTCTTCTTGAAAAAAACTGAATTGAGGACTTTTTAAGCACAGACACCTTGTTTTGACAAAATAACAAAATCAATGTCACACGTACTGGTTTGTCAAAAATATATTACTAGGAGTATCCATTTTTCTTCTCTTGACTGCACGGAGGCCAAATGAGAAGTGGCTGTTTTCCAGGAACAGCTAATAGCTTCTGAGAAAACCCACTCCAGCCTGATGTATCATCTGCCTCTGAATTCATTATTCAATCATATCAAGAAATGTTCCAGGGTAAGTTTTTAATGGAATTAAAGTTAGCTTCAGGACAAATCTTCAACAGGTGTTTAAAAATGAACCGTTTTACTGCTTCAGCAAACGCTCTGGCCCAAAAATAACCTCTGTGGAGTCTGGAGAGGTGCATTAGGAGTTTAGGGTTTGTGTAAAGAGAACTGCATCGAACTCATAAATACCTGCATCACTGCAATCTGCTGTCAGACAAAGAGCTTACCTGTGCTGGCGATGTCTTTTACTCCATATGGCTCCTATGCTGTCGCCCATCAGAATAATCACAAGAAAACACAAAAACATCCAAAAGGCTTTGAATTCAGTGCAGCTGTATTTCAGCGGCTACTAAACACACCTTTTCCTGGTTGTTTAAAAAGCTCTGAAAACATCAGCTGTAACCAGTAATCAATGTGGCAGCAGTCTGGGTGAACAGTGACCTTGGCAGTTGGACCACTTCAGCTTTCACCTTTTTCTGCTGCTTCTCTTATCAGTCCAGCCAGTTTCTATGGTAATTCAGTCCCTCCCTCTGTCCCTCACTGTGTGTCATCCAATTCTTCTTACCCGTCTCACCTTTGTGTGTGTGTGTGTGTGTCTTGCTCTCTTCTCACCTGTTGAGCTGAGCTGGATGTTTTGCAATCGCGGCTGGTCACTCTGACAACACACAGACAGATGAATGGATCCCATCAGTGCATGTACATTTATGTACTCCTGATATAGTTCATTGATTATATTCAGTCAGTGTATACTTACAGGGTTCCTCAGTTATTCCCTTGTTTTGTTGTGGTGCCCAAAAGTGACCCTAAAGTCCCAGCATTCGAGCATTAGAGATCATTCTAGTTCAGATGAAACAAGCTTCCATTACAGATACTGTACTTTTTACGAGTATCATAGTAGAGTCAAATGTGGCAATATCCTTACGATGAAGGAAAATCCTCTTTTGGGTGGCTGTATTTAGTCTTTTACTTTCGTAATTAAAATTATGTGAAATTCGATTCTGAGGCTGTTCTGTAAATTGTTTTGTAATAAATATAGCAATTTCAACTTCATATTCAACCCTTCTCATTCTCAGGTCATCAAATAATGACACTTGGTGTGTGTTATGAACATTAAAGGCATCCTTTTAATGTCTTTATGACACGCATTAGGCTTTCAACTAACTCCAGTGTAATGTCATGTTCACAGAGGGCACATTTAAAATCATTTGCGTGAGTGAATCACATGTAAAGTCAATGTGAAAACGCGTGTAGCATAATTTTGCATCACATGCGTATTTGCCAGAGTTGAAAAATCTTAACTTCAATGACCAATTGGCGCCCGGATAGCCAGTCAGCATTGAGATCCTCCAGGGACGTATGATGCAGAGGACATACCGGCAGAAGGTTATTCATTAATTCAGCTATTTCATGCACGTATGACGTGAGTATGCAGCGAGTAAACACAAAATATTCTAGTGTTCAAACACTATCTATGGCATTACTTGACGCTGAGAGCAACTGATGTAGTACAAAGAATCAGAAAGTCCACGTAGGGCGGGAGGGAGAGGAAGATACAAGATAACGTTTCACCCCAGGAGCAGTCTGTGCTCTGTTCAAATCCAAAAGTCAGTGTTGTTTTAATGTAGCATTACGTAACTATGTCCTGTGTAAAACCAAAAGTCATAGTTGTTTTAATGTACGTTATATAATTTACGTATGGTTTACGCACACTGATGTCACTCACATGACGTAAATATGTCACGTCAGCCTGACATAAACCATACATAACGTTACATAATAAGCCATTTGTAATGTTACGTAATAAAAAAGTACTTGAACCCAAGCACAATCTTTTTTCTAAACCTAATCGAGTAATCACTTTAGTTGTTCTTTTATCTCAGACATGTGTAAGGGTATTACATAAAGACACGTCACAACCACCACCAAGTGACACTTAAGAGGAAGGCTGTTTCCGCCGAAAGATGTCAAGGTATGTAACACCCTAATACATGTCTGAGATAAAAGAACTAAAGTGATTATCAGAAATTGAAGACATAATGAACACCATTGAACCTAACCCAGTAGTTTTGTTGGTTAAATCTAACATTGACCATTTCACAACATTAACTACGTGTTACAATGAGTTTCAGCTGTGTCTCACATAGGGTAAAGGGCTAAGGTTGCCCTGTACGTCGCTATGAGAAATCGAGGGTCGTGACAATTGTTACAATTTCAGCCTGAAAATAACAAGTCCCGCCCACTTGCAGTTTAACTCCGTCCATTCAGACTTACAAATACGTTTCTCAATTAACTTCTGATCATGACGAAACAAAGAATATAATAACAATTTAGCTACTCGCAGAACCGACAGTATGAATAAATGTAAAATGTGTCCAGTCAGAGGCTGGCCTTAAAGTGAAGGCCATGGTTAGATCAAAACCTAAAGGTTAGTCCATTTTTTAATGTCCTCAGTCTCCCAGGGGACGGCAAACTTTACTGTAAAAAGAGGCAGTTTTGACAAAAAAACAAAACAAAAACAAACAAACACTCAAACACAAAATACATATTTGAAGCTTGTAGTGAGGGTAATACGGTCTATTAAGTTTAGATTAGCCCATCGCCAGGAGCCGCAGGCTGCCTACGCCTGCAGCTGTTCAAAAGGTCCGAGGGGCATTAAATTATTTCAGAACCATCCTCAATATAGATATCATGAATTCCAGCCAGCAACTGTCGAGATATTTGCTTTGGAACTAACTGTTGGACAGACTGACCAAAACCCTAAAAAACTGAGGAACACAAAGATTTCCTCGTTTCACTAATTTAACAACACACACCCAAGTTATTTGGAAACAGACAGACAGCAATACATACAAAGAGTCATCAGTGTAAAGACACTGCTCACACACGTTCTTCTCTGAAACTGACTGGACTAATACTTTATTTAACAATCTGTTATCAATGTAAACAAAATGGTCGAACCACCACCAAAATAAAAAAAACACAGTATTGGAGTGTGCAATCAATCTCAACTTAAGTGATTTTTTTCAATACACAGATTAATACAAGACCACAACTAAATCTAAATGATTCATGTTCTTCTGTTGATTAAGATTTCTTTACAGTAAATAAAACAAGTTGAATGAGTTCAACAGGATCCCATTCTTGAATGTGTATCTTAACTCATTCAAATCAACATAATGTTATTCACTGGGTGCAGTAACAACATTAAGGAATTCACCTGTATGATAAGGGAAAGACTGTGGTCATGACTGAATAATGACAATGTCAGCACTGACTTACTCTGAGACAGGCATTAGATTCATTTATTTCTGTCTCTAATGGTGAGTAATGTCCACTCACAACTGTTAAGGCCGACACACTTGACCATCAGCTGCTGGGTGCCAACAGTGCTTAGGTTGTCTTGCTCTTAGGAAATCTTAAAGAGATAGTTTAGATTTTTTGAAATGGGGTTGTATCGGGTACTTATCCATAGTCAGTGTATTACCTACAGTAGATGGTGGTTGGCACACCCCCAGTTTGGAGAAGCAGATTAGAGTATTGCCATGGCAGATAAGCATTGTACTGCTGTGGAGGGGTCAGCAGCAAAAAGTATTTTAGCCACCTAAAAAAATCAATATCAGTTTTAGTGCGCACTATACTATGAGTATTTTCAATGCTTTACCTTTCTGTCAGACAGTGATTTCCGATGGGGAACTGAGGTCGTTATATTGCTGTCTTCAAAGCCAGAGTTTGTGTTATCATGTGACTTTGGCATTTAAAGTGGTTAGTTCGGACTCATCGAAGTCACTAAATAACACAAACAAACAAACAGTTTGAAGCAGAAGTAGACCAGCAGCTCCCATGTTCAGCAAGCCAATATTACTAGTTTTGTCAATAGAGTCTGGTGGCTTTGAAGAGAGCATACATATGGAACTGAAGCAGTTAATGCAGTGGCGAAAATGTTCTTAATGTAGCATACACTTAATCTGTTCTGGATTTTTTTAGATGGCTATAATATGTGTTGTTGCTGCCCCCGTCTACAGCAGTACATTGCTTAGCTTCTGTGGTGGTACTCCTGCCACTTTCCCAAACTGGGGGTGCGCCAACCAACATCCACAGTATATAATACACTGACAATGGATAGGTACCTTGTATAACTCCACTTCATAACATTTGAACTATCCCTTTAAAATGCCTTCAAGTTGGTCCATAATGTTGGAAGCTGATATTCAAATAATTTCTGGTTTCTAATAACTGCCAGGTAAAAACCTGGGTGAAATTAGTTGTTTTTCTAAGTTACTGTGAATGAAACCCAATACTTTTGGAAGAGGTCTTACACCAACGGCTTCCCAGGAATGAGCTGTTGGATGGTTATTACTGTCAGACATACAATTTGTGCAGAAAGAGTTGAGTTTTACTGCTGGTAGCCCAACAGCGTACAAACAAAAAGATGGCAAGGCAATGACTTAATGAATAAGAGATAACATTAACAATTGTGTCTAATGAAGCTGTGAAAATGTATATGATACAGAATTTCTGAAATCTTAACAGGTAAACGTTCTTTTTGTGTAGAGTTTAACCAAAAAAATCAAAATTGTGTGCCAAGACTGTCACAAAACTGATTGCCTGAATAAAAAGATTAAAATATTTTGCTTAGATATAAAACGAAAAGCATTTTGGTGAAGAAAATAAAAATGTGTTCATTTTTTTGTATGTAAGATCATATTTAGTTCTTTACTAACTCCACCTAAATGGCTTACAAATAAAGGGCCTGTTTACACCTGGTATTAAAAAAGTTCCTGTGATCGAAACACAAGTGGACAGCCAAGACACAGCCCTCTCACACCTTTGTCTATGATGTATCTAGCTGACCACTTGTGCTCAGAATGTGTTACTGCCTACGTCACTTACACTCGAAGGTCAAACCAGTTAAAATGTCCACACTCTTGCTAGCATTAGCGGTTGTGATGGTACAGTTGGAGAAATAGCTGTCAGCACAATCCAACATGTCTCCTTCCCTAGGGCAAGACCATAAGATGGTCACGCAACACTTCGTCCAACTAAGGCAGCATCGGTGGTGGTAACAGAGCCAAAACAATGTCTGTATAAACAGGACGGGATCATGGGTGGTACAGGTATGACATTTTAATGATGTGTTGTGCGTGTGACCCAAGGCAGGAGATTAAAAAGTAGCTGATAGCAGTTAGCAGCTCCCTTAAAGAAGAAGATCAGTGGCCAAAAGTGTCTGCAAATTGGGGAAAAAATTGAGGTCCAGGAGCTCCTTACCCTTACTGCCCTCGTCAGTGTGGTGTGTCCAGCACTGTTGGCCCTTGCTGGCGCTAGCTAACCTTTTTTCTTGCTGATTCAGCATTGGCATAGCAGAGCCCGTCGTGAGAATTGTAAACAAAGAGCTAAAGTCAAGAGGGAGTAAAGTCAAAACAGACTTATTATAAGATAAGATTATTTGTCTTTAGCCATTGAGCTCTTTAGCAGAAATGTTTCCTGATGGCTTGTGTTATTGTTCACTGGCACACAGTAAATATGCTGTTCTTTCAATATTGGATTGTGTTGTTAAAGTGCTAACTGGCTAACTAGCGTCAGGACGGTATTCCAGTTTCCATTTTGAACGATGATTACAGACTACTGCCGTCTGCTGGTGTGGAGGGGTATGTCCTCTCATGCAGTTGCAGAACATATGTGCTTGTTGGCCTTACGTTTGGTGTGTTCATGAGCAACTTTTTGGCCAAGACACGCTAGTTCTTCCACATTTGTTTGGTGTGTTTGGGCCCTTATATGGCATTCCTGCCATGCCTCTTTTGATTCCGCGATACTGCCATGCTGTCTAAAAGCACATACTGGAGCGGAATGATTCTGCCATTGTTTGCTTCTGCGTGAAAATGCAAAGGAGGCATAAAAGAAGGGACTTTGGCCGTATAGCGTGATTGCTGTGTAAAAAGGGCACCTGTTGGAGATGCAATAGGACACATCAGCATTTCCAATACAAAAAATGTGGTTAAATGCGTCCCAGACCATCTCAGCAAGTGGTTTGAGTGATGGAATCACAATGTGTCCTGCTGGTTGTTCACATTTGTATTTAGCGCTGTCCACTTGAGATCAGATCAGCTAAGACGTGTTAATACCAGGTATAAACAGGGCCAAAGATACACATGAATAACAGAAGACATTTTCTCTCTTATCAGAGGAGATAACTACACTTGAGACAAAGTAGAAAACAACAGATTGTTCAGTTGGCAATTATAAGCAGCTTCTTAACAGGAGTCCCTTTTATATTGCAGTTGCAAGCCTTTAGAAAAGATGCTAAACACAATGTATTAAAGCATAGCTCCAGAGATGAAAAAAGATAACCGTCATTTTACAGATTGGTATCTCTGTTGTAATGTTGATGCTATTCCACTTTCTGCTTTTAAGCTATTGTCCTAATGTTTTTGTACAGGCTGAAATCAATGGAATAACATCAAACTGTCATGGGGACCTGCTGACCAAAACATTGCTCCATAGTGCTACTAGTGGTCAAAGACACCACAGGGTGCCTTTAAGGGAGAGAGACTGATCTGGAAAATCTGGAAAAAACTTCCATTAACACTGGATGAATCCTTTCAATGAATATTCAGATGTTTGGGGAAATATGCTGGTTTGCCACCAAAACCTGAAATGAGCAATTCTTTCCCCTTAACCAAAGCAAAACTTATGGGATGTTCTTTCTTCATAAAGGTTATTGTCCATGCAAAATTAATGACTGTCTGAGGGAGTTGCAAGATCATTTCTCCATATTTCTTGTCCACATCATGTAGTGAATGATGTGACATATGAGCACAGGCTGAGGTCACTGAAACAACAAAACCCTGATGGTTTAAGGTGAGTGACAAGAACAAGAAAAAGTGGCTATGTAAACAAATAAAAATATTATTATTACCCCTTTTCCACCAAGGCAGTTCGAAGGCCAGTTTGGAGCCACTGTCTAGTCTCTAAAGGCTCATTTATATTCCCTCAAAAATCGATGCGTTCATTTTAAACTTTTACTGTCCACATACTTCCATGCGTCCTTCATGTTTTTATAAATCTTTACACTAGATGGCACTAACCTTATCAACAAAAGCAAACTTTAGCACATTACTTTCTGAAATTGCCACTGGCTCACCAACAATATTAACATCTGGTTTCACAAAGGATAACACTGTATAAGTGGAAGCTTTAAAGCATTGTTGTTGTTTTTGCTGTTGCTTATAAAGTTGTCTGCTATCTACATCGTAGATACCGCATTTGCCAATGTAGGCTCGCAAAGCCAAAAGCAACACTTGTAATGAGACTATGTAACCCACCATTGTTGTTGTGATTGAAGTTGGTGCTGGTGTTACTGGGAAAGCGAAAACGTATACACCATATTCATTTATGTGATGATACTGCTCAGTAGCCCGCTAATAAAGTTGCTTGCAGCAGAGCGGTTCATAGCACTGTTGCCAACTCCTCAGTAAGAAAAGTAGCTACTGGCTGTCCTAAAAGTCACTAGAAGTCACCAAATAATGTCATCGCCTAATTTGCATAATTGTCCATATGCATGTAATTGTAATGGCTGCTGTAGGAGAGAGGAATAACGTCGTGGAAGAGACAGAAACTGAGTAAAAAAACACCCTGAATATGTTTAGAACAACAAATGAACCTTCTTTCAGTGATTTATATTAGATAAAGAAAATTTTACATTTACATCCTGCCCTGACTGTAAACCAGGTAGGGATCAGCCAGCGGCGGTTCCACGCATGCGCGATTCACTTGCAGTCTGGACGTGGAGGGGTTAACATCTCCTGCTCTGACTGCAGCTGGGAGGGAGGACTGGGCCGTCTGTGAGTGCTTTGGGGCGAGAGAGGAGCCCACGGCAGCATCCGCTGCCCGTTGAGAAGAATAAGAATGATACATGCTCTCACAACAGTCTCCAGAAGTCTTCAATAACATCAGAAAAAGTCGCTAGATTTGTCGCTAGTTGCTTTTTTGAAAAAGAGTCGCTAGAGGGGTCTGAAAAGTCGCTAAATATAGCGACAAAGTCGCTACGTTGGCAACACTGGTTCATAGAAGGTTTAAAACTTGATCCAACGGCGACCAGTACTAGCACGAGCCCAGAACCAGAACAAGGTTTGCTTTGGTGGAAAGGGGATATACGATCAAATCTTAAACTCACCATCCTTTCATCATATCTTCAAGATTGGCTGAGTGACTCTGCATGCTGTACAGATGCATTTTCATGTGCAAAAACGCTTTTATGATGGTGTGTTAAGGTGGGAGCTATCCACTGTAAGGACAAGTGTTTCCCCCTTGCTTCCAGTCTGACTGCTAGACTGGGTTTAACATGACCCAGTCCTTAATCTGCTGTGGACTAGAGGAGAAGAAACCAGTGCTGACCTCATAATGTGACTCAGTGTAAGATAGCCAAAAAGCATATTTCCCCAAAAATGTAAGTGTGTTCCTTTGAGGCCACCATCCACTGTCTGGATGTTGTGTACAAATCAGTTTCAGCTACTAACCGTACCCTACCGCTCTGACATTGTGACCACACCTGCTGGACAAAGCTGGTCCTGTCACATGTAAGTTTTAAGCCACTGCTGGTGGACACCGTCCTTAAGTGAGACAAAATTTCCCTCATAAATATACAACACAGACAATAACAACAACAATAAAAAAATACTAGGCATCTGAATGTCCTGGTCCTTTCAGGGAGTGACACTCTTCACAGTGATTGGCTGGTCAGACCAACAGCAAGAGGGGCTGACTGAGATGTTTGTGGAGACCACTGTGGCACTGTCTGATTCCCAACAATGTTCACAGGCTGTAACACTTGTTCAAATGTTTGTGTAATATTAACCGCTCCTGACTGCTCGGCAGGGGAACTCCAGTCAGGAGCCATCAGCAGGTTCACAGCGATGTCAGATCCTGGACCTCCAGCAGCATGGCGTCCTGCTCCGTCCTCAGCTGGTCTCGGACCTGCAGGCGACTCACCAGGTCTGAGCTCAGGTCTGATGGGGACAAACGTAAAATCAGAAGTTCAAACTGCAGATCTAAATTAACAGCAGCACTTCAGAGGTGTATGTCTGAGAAATATTTTTTCTTACATTAGGATTAGTAGGGTCTAGAGTGCAGCCACTCTTTGTATTAGTTTTAGTGTGTAATGCCTGAGTCTCTTCCCTTCACAGATCTTTGCATTTCTGAGCGGAGCTCAACTGAGTTGTTTTATATGAACATTCTGTATAATGTTACGTGTATTATTTTTCCATTAAAAATCAATAAACATATTTTGAAAAATGGTCTCAGTCCACAGCAGGAGGATTGTGTCTTTCCTTGACACTAACAGTACTGTCTGTTCAAAATAAATGAAAATAAACAGATTCTTATGCATTTGGTTTGTCCCCTGCTGTACTGAACTCGCACAAACCATGACTTCTGTGGACTGTTGCACAATGCTTAAAATGTGAAAAATTTCTGGTGGACCTAAATGAAAAAAATAGGGAAACCTGTGCAACCACTTCAGGGTTAGGGTTAGTGAGGACTGTGTACTTGCTGTGTGGGTGAGGAGTACCTTGGATGGTCTGGCTGAGAGACGTACAAAGAGCCTTCAGATCCTTAATACTGAAGTTCTGTAAATCGCTGCGCTCCACATGTCTTCTCTGGACTACAGGATCACTACGAGCTGCAGCCTGACAGGAGAGGAGAAGAGAGGAGGAGAGGAGACAAGGAGGACGAAAGGAGATGGGAGAAGGAGGAGAGAGGAAGACAATAGGAGAGGACAAAGGGAGAAGGAGGAGAGAGGAGCTGTAATAAACTGTATTTGGGATTAAAAGAGAAAAATGGCTGAATGAGAAATTTAGCTCTCACCAGTGTTTTGTGGTCTGTTCTCAGTCGGTCTCGTAGGTTCCTCAGAGTGTTCCTGAAGCCTCTGGATTTTGGTTTCTCTGGCTTGGCAGGAGGCTGAGGATTCTTAAGGACCTGAACAGTCCCTCTCTTTCTCAGCGGGGACAGACAACAGAGTGGGAAGAACATGAAGAAGATACACATGAAATAACAAGAGTAAGGTGTGGCTCTGTTGATATTTCTCGTACTCTTCTTAAAGAGATAGTTCAGATGTTTTGAAGTTGGCTTGTATAAGGTACTGATCCACAGTGAGTTTGGTACCTACAGTAGATGTAACTCAGCACACCTCCAGTTTGGAGAAGCAGGTTGGAGTTTAAGGAAGCTCAGCATTGCACTGCTGTGGAGGGACCAGCAACAAAATGTATTTTAGCCACTTAAAAAAAATCAATCAGTTCAGGTGTACATTATCTTTAGAATATTTTCTTTGCTTTCCTTACCCCCAGATAGCGATTTATGACAGGGAAGTGAAGCTGTTATTTTTCTCTCTTGAAAGCCTGGTCTACCGCTGCCTTGATCAGTTCATTAGTTTGAGTTTTTGTGTGACTTTGGCGTTTTTAGTGGCTAGTTCAGATTCACCAAAGTCACACAATAACACTAACTATCTGACTGATTGAAGAGGCAGACCAGCAGCTCCTGTGTTCGGTGAGCTTAAATTACTGTTGATCCTCAATGGTGTCTGGTGGCTTTGATGAGAGCATAGATGGGGAATACGGAAGACACTTGCAGCTTCAAGGTAAAGCCGTGAAAATATCATAATACAGCGTATGCTTGAACTGATACTGATTCCTTTTAGATGACCAAAATATGTTTTGTTGCTGACACCATCCACAGCAGTACAATGCTTTGCTTCCGTGTCAGTACTCCTGCCTGCTTCTCCAAACTGGGGGAATGCTGACTGACATGTACTGTACATTATACACTGACTAAAGATAAGTACCTCATAAAACCCCACTTAAAAAGATATTAATTATCCCTTTCACGTCCTTGTACTGTTTGCTGTTGCAATCATCCTACTACACCACAGTTTCTGCTCACAAAAGCCCAGTTCATTCCAATGGTTCACGCTGAGATGAAACTGTTTTAGAACGTTGGGGGGGCGGGGATGGTCGGTCTGCGCTCAACTCAAGCGGGCTGTCACCTACAACTCAGTTGGTTCAAGCTTCAAGCTTCAGTTTGCTGTCATTCAAACATGGTAAAAAACCTGAGGGAACGAAATCTGTTTCCCAGGTCCAGCGGCACACAGAATAAATAACATTTTAAGATAGACCTTTAAAAATAATTAAGTAACCTAAAAGCCTATAATAAATAAAACACATGATTAAAAAAACAAGCAGCATGTTAAAGTGCATAATAGTGCATCAACAGCAGCATGCAGTCACAGCAGTACAAAGTGCAGAGATGAGACTTCAAGCCTTCATAAGCCTCACAACCTCTGGGAAGAAGCTGTACTTTAGCCTCGTTGTTCTGGCTTTGAGGCTGGGCAGCCTCCTGCCTTAAGCCTAGTTCACATTACATATTACGTATATTACATATTACATTTTCACCGTGAATTTGACGATGCAGAGGATCTTGAGAGCCACCTTGGGTCGGAGGTGAGTCGGCAGATAGTCTGCCACAACGAGTCCTCATGTGTGAACAAGCCTATGAGCAAGTTGCCCCCTTGTCTGTGACTGGGACTGGATATCTGGCATGCTAGAAAACTGGAGAAGACTGACACGACTGACAAAGACCATCAGCCAATGAGAGGCAGGATGCGTCAGCACGCAGAAGGACGGAAGAAATGTGAGGAGGACAAGCCACAGGGTTGCCACTTGCCAGGTCTGCTTATTAGCTGCGACCTTGGGCTTGTTTCTAAAGCTGAGTTGCTTATTTGGGCTTGCTCTCTAAATGTCACCTTTCTCTATATATATATCCGTCTAATAAGTTATTTAAACGCATGATAGTTGCTTCTTTTGGGCTTGTTTCCATAGCCCTGTTTGCTTTTTCTCCCAAGATGTGGTAACACTGACAAGCTGGCAAGCAACAACAACAATGGCAGTGTCCACAGGATCACGGGGAGCGCGTTGCGCTTGGACCCAGGAAAATTAAGAATATCCATGCCTTTATGATGTGTCATCTCCAAGTTTGGTGAGGTCACTGCATTATCTGGGGCTCTGTCGGCGAGGGCTTGGTGGAGAAATCTTGTGGTGTGCACACACAGGTCGTAACGCAGTTGGTGAGACTCCCGCTGACAGAAACACGTCGCCAGGTATGAACACTCAAAAGATTACCATAGTCTCCGCGACACAAAATCAGGGAAAAAAAATCATGTGATGTGCACTAGGCTTTAGGGGAGGGGGGTGAACAGTTTGTGTGTCGGGTGGGTGGGGTCCTTCATACAGACGTTCTGTTTGTGCACCTGCTGACATAAATGTCCTCCAAGGAAGGGAGGCTGCTGTTGGTTATTTTTTGAGCAGATTTAACCACTCGTTACAGCACCTTCCTGCCATCCGCAGAGAAATTTCCATACCAAACAGTGGTGCAGGGTGTCAGTGTGCTCTCCACCACACACCTGTAAAAGAAGGTCAAGTCCTCCTCAAAAAGTACAGGCACTGGTGGGCCTTCTTTATGATGTTGGCTGTGTTGGTGGCCCACGTGAGGTCATTGGAGATGTGCAGGCCCAGGTATTTGAAGGTGGACACCATCTCCACAGCTGCTCCTCCAATGAAGAGGGGAGCGGGGGTGTGGCCTCTCCTCCTAAAGTCCACAACCACCTCCTTAGCCTTCCCCACATTGATGCAGAGATTTTTTGCTCTGCACCAGTCCACAAGTTGGTCAAATCGCCGGTGGCTGGTTTTAGAACGTATAGCAAGTCACCTATTTGAACAGTGAACAATGCTCTCTGTATGTACTTATGTCTCCTATTCATAGAGATGATACACTGTCTCATCTAGCTGCACTGGTGTGAAATGGCAGGTTTTTAGAACGTTGCAGAATGGTGCATTGCAACCTGTTGCCTGTTTGAACTCGTCTAATCCTGAATCTTTGGTCTGAACTGGGCTTAATACAAACTGCTGTATCGTGTTGTCAGGGACTTGTGTAAGGGGCTGTTACCCGTGTGTTGCTGCTCTCCTTCTCCTTGTCATCCTCCTCTTCCTCACTTTCACTGTTGTTGATGAAGCAGAGCTGAAGATTCATCTGCGTCTGCAGGCTGGAGGATATACAACAGTCAAACAGACCTCATGTCTGACCTCATGTCTGATTCACTGAATGATGTGTGCTGTCGGAAAATTCACAGCTACTGAGTCACAATTACTGAACATCATCTCAGAGGGAAAGTGTCAAATAAAGATTCCAGGGCTTTGAACACAGTGACACCTGGTGGTTTGTCAAAATTATAACAGCCTCTCAACACTGGAGCCGAAGCACCACAACACCTGTTTGATTTTAATGCTAACAGTCTCATATGTGTGCAATAATTTTTTTTAATAAGCCTATGTGTTATTACTAAAGCTGTAATAGTTTTGTTAAGAAGTGCTGCATTAGATGTGTTAAGAGATGATACACACCAGAATGACACCATGTTCATGAGTAATAGGTCATGAGTCTTGTGAGGTGTGTGTGTGAGTGTACCGAGAGGTGAGTGCCAGCACATGGCTGTTGCAGGCGTCGTCTCCGTCCTCCCAGCTCTCTGCTCTCCTCCCTCTCTCCTCCATCCAGCTCAGTGGAGCCCTGCCTCGCTCCAGAGAAACTCCGCTCTGAAGACCACAAGGGGCAGGAGTTACAGAGGCAGCACAACAGGATTTATAAATATATATACAGTTTATATATCCTTTTCTTTTTTCATTTTTGTGATTACTTGAGAATGACTGTACTGTAATAGCCTGTTGACTGAGGTTAGCTGAGGTTAGTAGAACTTTATGGTAAGGAGACAGGCGGACAGGATGGCGATACTGTGCTTTATGATTACCTGGGTCATGATAAGGTTTAGATTCATTAAGGTTTAAGGTTTTTTTAAGGCTTTGATATTTAAAGCGTATGCTAGATGATATGGTTGTTTTACAGTGTTCCTGCTTTGGTAATTGACAAACATGATTTTCTACATATTGCTGTTTTTTATTGTGGTTTTTGTTGTTGTTATGTATCTGTCCTTTATGGCAGACTCCATTCTTAATTATTTAACTTTTTTTTTTATTGTTTTTTTATTGCTATTTATAATACTTGATAGACACTGCTGTTACTTATTTTGTATTTATGGACTTTTGTTTTTCATCACTTCATTGCAATTACATATTTGTATTAGTGTTGCACGGTCTACTGGCAACAACGGTAGACTGCAGTACTCAAACACCACAGTACATATGATACCATAATGTTGGAGTACCGTAGTACTACGGTACCTCACGGTACCACTACTGTGGGATAAGTTCAAAGTCCACTTGCAAGAGGGTGAGTGTCCATGCGCCGTCCAATAATGGCATGCGCTGGCCATCTGGCACTCAATATGTTGCTGCAGTGGTTTGTTTTCCAGTGACATTTCAGGTATTAGCTGAGCTATTGAGTATCTTTAAGCAGTGAAAGTTATTATTTATTTCGTTTTACTTGTAGGCTAGATTTGTTTATATGTTACACTGATTTGTTTTCCACTGTATTTACGGGTTAAATAAGTTAACAGAGCTCTACGGTGCAAGCATTTTACTTGCATTTGCGACTAAAAATAGTTTTGTGTGAGCAAAAGAAATCATTCAGGAGCACGCTGTGCGAATATAGATTTCAACCAGCAGCAGAAACTAGGGATGCACCGAAATGAAAATTTGTGGCCGAAGCCGAAGCCGAATATTATTAAACGCTTGGCCGAATACCGAGTACCGAATACCGAATATCATTGTTTAGTTTTTCATTAGTTTTTGCAGATGAACCCCCTCCAGATTAGTGTTGTCACGGTACCAAAATTGGGACCCACTGTGCGATACCAAAGAAAATATCATGGTTCTGAGTAGTATCACGATACCACAGCAAAAATGAGGCAGATGTGCCTTTTGTCATTTATGAAAAGATAAATCACTTTTCTATAATACATCAATGATATTTCAATGGAATAAATTACTTATTGACTTATTCATACTTCAAAAACAGCATCAATAAGTGATTAACATAAGGGGGATCAAAATAAAATAAATAAATAAAATAAAAATCAACCAGCCACCCTCCTCCCCTGACAGTCCCTTCATAAGTAATGAACAGTCCCTAAAATGCGGTGAGGTTTGTGGACCGTTACTGCCAGAAAGAGAGAAATGTGAAAGGCTCGTTTCTCCTCTGACACATCACAAACCTGTGTTCAGCTGGCTCGGCTGTTCAGGTACTTCTGGGCAGTCATGACACCAAGAAGAGGATATTATTGGAACCGACTTCTCCGTCGCCCGGTAAACCGATGGCCGCCGTATTTGACAGGAATACATTAACGTTACTGTCTGTGTCTGTGACCCCCGTTCAACCCACAATCGGTGGGATTCGCCTTTCGTTTCTGCTGCTGGTTGAAATCTGTAGGCTGCTCGCACAGCGTGCTGAATGATTTAAGCCTATTTTGCTCGCTCAAAACTATTTTTAGTCACAAATGCAAGTGCCGTGACGGACAGATCGCCACACTACCGACATTTTATTCCGCCCGTCACGGCACGCCGTTTAATTGCGTTATCAAAACGCCGCTATTATTCGGCATTCCTTTTAACTTATTCCACTGAATACCGAATGTGTGTTTTTTTGCAATATTCGGCCGAATATATTCGGTTACCGAATATTCGGTGCATCCCTAGCAGAAACGAAAGGCGAATCCTGCCGGTTGTGGGTTGAACGGGGGTCACAGACAGGAATACGGCGGAGCACTATGGCCACCGCAAGATAACGGTTTACCGGTGACCGAGAAGCCCAGCTCCAGGTACAATAATTTCCTCTTCGTTGGTATCATGACTGCCCAGAAGTACCTGAACAGCCGAGCTGTGGCGGCACACAGGTATGTGGCGTGTCAGAGGAGAAACGAGCCGTTGACATTTCCCTCTTTGTGGCAGGTAATGGTCCACAAACCTCACTGCATTGAAAGGACTGTTCTATACTTATCAGAGGAGGAGGGTGGCTAGTAGATTTTTATTTTATTTTTTTATTTTATTTTGATCTCCCCTATGTTAATCACTTATTGATGCTGTTTTTGAAGTATGAATAAGTCATTAAGTAATTTATTCCACTGAAATATCATTGATGTATTATAGAAAAGTGATTTATCTTTTTATAAATGACAAAAGGCACATCTGCCTAATTTTTGCTGTGGTATTGTGATACTACTCAGAACCGTGATACTTTCACTGGTATCGTACCGTGGGTCCCAATTTTGGTACCATGACAACACTAATTTGTATTCGTGCTCAGTCAATTTTCTCCGAATAAACAATGGTTGATGATGATGTTGAAATACAGGGTCTTATCCACCTTATACCTAGACCCCATGTTACATGCAACTTCCAGCACTGAACCAGAACCAGTGTTTTCCAGTGCTAACGCTATGCTAATCCTCTTTTCTAGAGAGGATGTGATCATACCTGTGTCATCTCTGACAGCCTCAAAGCATTTTTTGTTTATCTTTTTAACCAATTGTGTTAGCGATTAGCTTACCTTGCTAGGTTAGCATATTGATGAATTTAATAGAGCTGAGCTGGTTTATGGTCAACATCTCATCATCATAAACAGACGTCAACACATTCAGCCAACATTTAACATAATTCTGTATTAATTTCAACTCCATGAATGACATGATGTTTACCAGCTAATGCTCTGCTCGTCTCTGCTCATCTTTGGACAGACATCTCGTTGTCTGTCTCAAGGATGCAGTTTACACATTTTTATCACTGCTGATTTATTAAATGGGAGTTTTGCTGAGTGAAACATAATGCTGAATTTAGCAGCAGACCTCAGTGTATGCCAGTGACATATAATAGTAGTAAAATAAATAACATTAGACATGTATTTCATACGATGTACAGTGAGTACAGTAAATCAGCAACACATTCTCAGCCTAGATGACTAAACCCATAATTCAAGGTGCTGCTGAGTTTGTTTTCAATGTAGGTTGAGAATGCAGTCACACAGGGAGAGACAGGGACAACATACTGATGTTGAGTCACAGATTTGTCATTGTAGATGTCATTCTCTTCTGCAAGATGAGAATTAATTAATACTTCTCTGCTCTCAAAATTCTTTGGTTTTATTATTTCCTCTGTCATTCCAAGCATGTGAAAACACTGTCTATACATTAGGTAAAATATGGGACAAATCTTTCTCTTATTGATTCAGTAAGGGATACTGCTTTTTATTTTTTACACAGGACTATGAGGTATTAACGTTATACAGTAGCCTACTAGGGTTGCAATGGTATGAGATTTTCATGGTTCTATAACTGTCTCAAAAAATATCTCAGTTTCACAGTGTTATAGAGTTATTACTATAAGTCAAAATTACACTTAACAGAATGAAACCAGAGGGGTTATTTTTTATTGAACATATATATAGAAATAATAATTGAAATAACTAAAATGAGGTTGAGATTCTCCGTCTAGTTGCATTGTTTTTCAATATTGTAGATAAGCAAATGTACACGATATGATACCCGTCAATTTTAATATTGCAGTATACCTTAAAACCAATATGCTGCTGCAACCTTGTGCAGTTCAGGTGGCAACATATTCCTCTCTCAGTAGGCGATGGAAACTATACTGCTAGTTACAAGAACAATCCTTTTTTTGTTCAGACTGCATGTTCAATGCACTGTTGTTGAAGTAATACATTTAGCTTGGGGTGCTTTAACACCCGCCTTGTTGTCAAACTCAAGTTCGATTGCCCCCTAAGTGCGGTTTGTCTGGACAGGTGTGAACGCAGCAATCGCACTCGGGTGCGCAACAAAGACAACTGGACCGGGCCTACTTGAAGAAATGGTCTCAGTCCTGTTCCAACCGAACTCTGGTGCGGTTCGTTTGTGGTGAGAACGTGTTCCAATCTCGATCCGAACCAACTGCAGTGGCATTACGCATTGTTTGGCTTAAACAATCACAAGCATGTTACAGTCCAAGAGGATTATTAACGTGCACCTCCTCCTGCACTGCCTTAATATGCACATTCGGCACATCCAATGCATCAAAACACTGTTTTCTAGTAGGAACTGCGCCTTGTTTTCAGCCTGTATAGTTTGCCATGAACAGTGTAAGCAATATAGTACCCCATGACCAGCACTAAAATCAGCGTGGGTAGTTATCCCTCCTTTGAGACATTAGAAAGGTTTGCATTTATGTTGCAGGTGTACTCTTCTTCAACGTTTTGTTTACTTCCTGGATTTTTTCCGCATGGAAATTCTGACTAATCAAAAGCAGCTTTCTTGCACAAGCATTTTATCTAGTCCGCTTGTAAATGCTGCCGTGAGAACACGAACCAACTCTAGGCAATTATGCAATGTTGTAACAAAATTAGTTCCTGATTCGGACCAAAGCAAGCGGACTCTAGGTCTGAAGGCACCCTTAGTCTGATAGTAAAAGGGTGACCATATTTTGATTTCCAAAAAAGAGGACACTCGGCCCGGCCACGAGATAGCCTACTTAAATGATACTCGCAGTTTACTCAAAGACGCCTTATAATTTTAATATATTTAAAGTTTATATGTATGGATAGAATATTCAGTTAAATTACAAAATAATATCTCTCAAAGACAGAAATTCAGATAGCTCCTATAGATAGGACACACACACACACACACTAGAGTGTGGCTACCCGATCCGAGTCCGATGGGTCCCGACGGGAAAATGTACAAATTGTATTTGGGCTCGGGTCGGATTCGGTCAGCTTTCAGTGAAAATGTCTCAGACCTCCCGCTGCCCGCCTCCGCCTTGATTAAACGCTGAAAATTAAATAAAAGAGGGAGACAGGTTTTTCCTATTTTATCTTATTTTGTTATATTTCTCCCTCTACCCTTGCTGGAAGCCTCGGACCTCCCGCCACCCGCTCCTGTCTCAAACACGGAGGTCTCCCTCTCCGTGTAGCACCCACGGCGCACCACCGGCCTGTTAAATAGCTTGTAACCATAACAACTGTGTGACACAAACTCAGTGCTTAGTCATTAAATAACGTCAGGCTCGGTTTGGTTTCGGACATAACAAAACAGAATGACTGTCGGGTTCGGACAGAAATATGCGGCCCGTGCCGCACTCTAACACACACACACACACACACACACACACACACACACACACACACAGGAAAACCGGACATTATCATCAATTTATAAACACCCCCCGGATGCCCTGGACAGGACGTGAAAAGTGGACATGTCCGGGCAAATGAGGACGTTTGGTCAGCCTAGATAGTAACGTTACAGACATGGACAGTTCAACAGGTACCAGAGCTCCTGAGGGTTGCTGTTAGTTAAGTATATGTTAAAATAATTGCTAAATTGAAGGCGAATTCATTTCAAAAGGAACATCCATTGGCAATTAGCCACTGAGGCTAACCACAAGAAGTCAGTAGGACTAATTACTTCTACTATCTCACTTGAAGTTATACTCAAAACCACTTTCTACAGTAGTGCCCTCAGGAATGAGGTAGATAATCCAGAATTGTTATAAACGTGACCTCTGATTAGTTTCTTCTCAATTTTTTTGAAAAATATCTTTTTAGGATTTGTTTTCCAGGGACCCCATTCACAAAACATCCTAAAAGTAGACTAAAAGTAGGAGAAACTCCTTTAAAAGTGTGTCAGTCCTGACTAGAATGGATTTTTTTTCGGTCTAAAAGTATTTCACAAAGCATTTTAATATTAACTATAGCCACTAAATCTGAGAGAAGTAATCTGGAGGAATCCTTAGTCACTAACACTACATTCATAATAAACTATATTTTTGATGGCGGGTGAGTTAATAAGAATCATGTCCTATTACTGCATGTCACTAACTCGGCTTCTTCTCCGGAGCCTTTGTGCTCCACTGTCTCGCAGGTTAACTCATATTGCAGCGGTGCCTGGAAAGAGTGACGTGTGTGGTTGTGCAACTGCCGTGGTCCTGCCTGATGCCTCCTACTGCTGCTGTTATTATCAGTCATACTTCTACTGTTATTATACACATATGATTGTCACATACATATACTATCATACATTAATATATACTTAGAACATATTGTACCACAATAGCCATAATTATTATTATAATATTATTACTTAAATTAAAGTTGTTGTAAGCTATTATTACTGTCTGTCTGATTGATTGATCAGCTCTACAACAAATGGAAACATACCAACAACACCAGAAATGACACTTTACACAACTCTCCACTACAGTGACTCAATGTGCAGCACTGGTGAACTTGAAATATCTCAGCTCAGCTGTCTGTGACAATTCATCTCTCTTTACACCCACATTAGCTTGACAGTTCATCAGGTTAACATTTAATCACAAAATGACAGAAACAAACAAAGCTGTTTTTTAATGGCATTCAACAGATCACCTGTAGAATATGTTATGTGTAAGTTTTTGAAACTATCATTAATAAATTCAGGTTTTGGTGATGTGTAACACTCTGTCTTGTAAACTATACACCATTGGGCCTTCAACAGGGGGTCCATGACCCTAAGGGGGTCCTCAGAGTTACTGCAGGAGGGTTGCTAAAGTATTGTTTGATAACTGAACGTTCATTTCACTACCATAAGCTGTCTACAATGTTGTTTCTGTTAATCTGGCAGTACATCCAACCAGCCTCACAACCACAGACCAGCTCAGGACCAGCCACCTGAACAACTGATGCAAAAATTGGTTTGCACAACCGAAGAATTTCTACCTAAATGATCAGAAACTGTCTCAGGGAAACTCATATGCATGTTCATCATCCTCACCAGGGTCTTGACTTGATAACAGTTCATCACTGTAACCATCTTGTGTGGTTGTGAAGCTGGTTGGATGTACTGCCAAATTCACGGAATTGACATTAGAGATGTCTTATTGTAGTGAAATTACCCTTTTTTGGTCAGTGTAGATGTAGTGCCTAAAAACACAATAAACCTTGCATCAAATACAAATTAACATCTATATCAACACCATCTCCACCTCTCTCTCCACCTACTGGTTGTTTATATTTTTATGTGTCGTTGATTTGTCTTATTATATCAATTCATCCCCTATAAATGTTCATTCACTCTTAAAGTATTAATAATGAGATATATGCTAAAGATCAGAATTTAATTTTGAGGAATATTTTTTTAGTTTTTTTCTCAGGTGCAGTTGTACCATAGTCAGTAATTATTTTGTACTCAAGACTGCTACATTATCATTTCTCTTCTGAGCTGTATGATCTCATAAAAATCCCACTGCTGAACCGCGCCTGCTGATCTCTCCTTCTCTGGCAGGATGCATCGCTAGGATCAGCCCAGGAGCTGACTGCGTAAAGAGCTGATATCTTCAGCTGCTGAATACACACAGATTGTGGCTGCACACAATTGCTCACACCACCAAAGAAAATCTTCCAGTATAGCATGTGAGATTTACAGAGTGTGTTACTACAGTAACTGACCCAGGGTTACAGTGACCACTGTCTCTGGAACTAAAAACTCAGAGTTTCCCTCAACTCAGGGTGACAGGGAGAGTTTTCACTACATCTGCTTTCTGGAACACACCCATGTTCTCCACCAAGAACACTCAAAGTACTTAACTGAGTTGATAGAAGTGAGTGTTCCCTAGAGGTAGGGAAAAACTCAATACAGCATAGTATCACAATATTTTTGTCTGGTAATATTGTATGTCCACTGCATACATTTTGCTGCAAGAAATGACTGAGGTGAGATGAACGGACTGAAAATATATTATCTTATTCGATAATGAAGATGTTGACGAGTTTTCCTCTGAGAGATTAACTGCAATTGAAAAAAGTAATACACAGCAATATATTGCACAATAATTTATCGCAATACTCAGCATATTGCAACACATTTAAAATTGCAATAATAATGTATTGTGACCTAAGTATCATGATAATATTGCATCATGGAGCCTCTGGTGATTCCCACCCCTAGTGTTCCCAGGACTAACCAACACCCTCTCCCAGACTGCAACCACTGACCTTTGCCCTTTTCTCCTTATTCTCCTCCTCCTGCTTCTCCAGCTCAGCAATGCGCAGACTCAGCGCCTCCCAGTGCATGATGGGAAGGCCCAGATTGTCCTCACCGTAGCCTTCCTGCCAGACCAGCGCAGCACCCTCCGAATCGTCTTCCTCTTCCTCCTCATTGTCAGCGTCATCATCACTCCTCCTGTCATCTTCTGCCTCGTTACTCTCCTTCTCTTCTCGCTGCTGCCGCTGTCTCTCCTTCTCTCCCTCCATCTCTACACGGGTGGGGACAGCAGAATACAGATTCAAATCAGCTACAAGTGTCTGGGACAGAGCACTCTATATATAACATGCTGCCCAATGCTTAGAGTATAAAATGTTGTAAAAACAAGTGGGAAAACAAGATGTTTGCTTGCTGCCTAAAATCCGGACTGAAGCCAGTTAAAGCTGCTGAGGTCATGACCTCTATTTTTGGGAATTTGGAGTTCTTAGCGATCTGGGAAGATCATAAAGTGAGTGATAAAACTTGCCACCTAAGAAATACGCCTGTGTTCAAAGAAGAACACATGTTAAAATACAAATGCTGTTATCTGCTATAAATGCCCTCGAGAAGACAAACCCATCTGCATCAGTGTTTCTTCTTTTTTTTCCTTTGTGAAATAGTCAGTAGAAATCTATAACAAAGTTAATTTTACATAAACTATATGAACTATGGATAAACTATTTAAAAAATCCATTTAGTGATTAATTTCTTATTTTATTTGGTATTTTTGTCATATACAGTACAGGCCAAAAGTTTGGACACACCTTCTCATTCAATGCGTTTTCTTTATTTTCATGACTATTTACATTGTAGATTCTCACTGAAGGCATCAAAACTATGAATGAACACATGTGGAGTTATGTACTTAACAAAAAAAGGTGAAATAACTGAAAACATGTTTTATATTCTAGTTTCTTCAAAATAGCCACCTTTTGCTCTGATTACTGCTTTGCACACTCTTGGCATTCTCTCCATGAGCTTCAAGAGGTAGTCACCTGAAATGGTTTCCACTTCACAGGTGTGCCTTATCAGGGTTAATTAGTGGAATTTCTTGCTTTATCAATGGGGTTGGGACCATCAGTTGTGTTGTGCAGAAGTCAGGTTAATACACAGCCGACAGCCCTATTGGACAACTGTTAAAATTCATATTATGGCAAGAACCAATCAGCTAACTAAAGAAAAACGAGTGGCCATCATTACTTTAAGAAATGAAGGTCAGTCAGTCCGGAAAATTGCAAAAACTTTAAATGTGTCCCCAAGTGGAGTCGCAAAAACCATCAAGCGCTACAACGAAACTGGCACACATGAGGACCGACCCAGGAAAGGAAGACCAAGAGTCACCTCTGCTTCTGAGGATAAGTTCATCCGAGTCACCAGCCTCAGAAATGGCAAGTTAACAGCAGCTCAGATCAGAGACCAGATGAATGCCACACAGAGTTCTAGCAGCAGACCCATCTCTAGAACAACTGTTAAGAGGAGACTGCGCCAATCAGGCCTTCATGGTCAAATAGCTGCTAGGAAACCACTGCTAAGGAGAGGCAACAAGCAGAAGAGATTTGTTTGGGCCAAGAAACACAAGGAATGGACATTAGACCAGTGGAAATCTGTGCTTTGGTCTGATGAGTCCAAATTTGAGATCTTTGGTTCCAACCGCCGTGTCTTTGTGAGACGCAGAAAAGGTGAACGGATGGATTCCACATGCCTGGTTCCCACTGTGAAGCATGGAGGAGGAGGTGTGATGGTGTGGGGGTGTTTTGCTGGTGACACTGTTGGGGATTTATTCAAAATTGAAGGCACACTGAACCAGCATGGCTACCACAGCATCCTGCAGCGACATGCCATCCCATCCGGTTTGCGTTTAGTTGGACGATCATTTATTTTTCAACAGGACAATGACCCCAAACACACCTCCAGGCTGTGTAAGGGCTATTTGACCAAGAAGGAGAGTGATGGAGTGCTGCGGCAGATGACCTGGCCTCCACAGTCACCGGACCTGAACCCAATCGAGATGGTTTGGGGTGAGCTGGAGCGCAGAGTGAAGGCAAAGGGGCCAACAAGTGCTAAACACCTCTGGGAACTCCTTCAAGACTGTTGGAAAACCATTTCAGGTGACTACCTCTTGAAGCTCATGGAGAGAATGCCAAGAGTGTGCAAAGCAGTAATCAAAGCAAAGGGTGGCTATTTTGAAGAAACTAGAATATAAAACATGTTTTCAGTTATTTCACCTTTTTTTGTTAAGTACATAACTCCACATGTGTTCATTCATAGTTTTGATGCCTTCAGTGAGAATCTACAATGTAAATAGTCATGAAAATAAAGAAAACGCATTGAATGAGAAGGTGTGTCCAAACTTTTGGCCTGTACTGTACATATTTGCAGTGATGAATGGTATTATGTATGTTGATGTTGTCCATCATCTGTATTTTCTGTAACTACAAAATATTCCGTTACGACACAAAATCTTGCACAAGGGCCCGTTATAATAGTGTGCACTGGGGCCCATCCTAACTATCGTATGCCACTGCTGATTATAAAAGAAATCTGTAATACTGTGATAATGCGATATTTTCTGAGACGGTTATAGTACTGTGAAAAATTTTATACTGTTGCAACCCTATATTGAACCACTGATCAATATTTTTTTAACACAGAAGACAAAGTAATATATATTAATTTATACATAGATATATTAAGACTCTGTAGATATCACCTGAACAGTAAATGTTGTTGGGGCAGCAGTAGCTCAGTCCACTGGGACTTGACCTAGGAGCAGGAGCCAGAGTGTGGACTAGGGTTGTACACGATTTGCCAATTTCGCCATCTACTTGATTAAATGTTACTATCCTTGCTAGTTGACATTAGAAATAGTAGTTAATTAAACGTATTATAAAGATATTATTATTTTATATATGTACACATTTAAATTACATTTTGACATAATTTGCACTTAAATGTCATGGCTGCATACTTCAATGTTGACATAAAAAAACAAGCATCTGATAGCCACTAATGTTAACAATGACTGATTTAAGAAAAAAAAAAAATCAGACATTTCATAAAAACCAGTGCAGTTTGGCAGTATTTTCATTTCATTTCATTTAGTGAGTTGTCGTCATGTTTGGTAGGATAATGTGCGGTGTTCATAATGCACGGTGCAAAATGCCACACATTTTAGCTACATTTTAAATATAATTTAGTTATTGAAAAATGTGATTAAAAATATCAAAAGGCTCTGATAATATAGATATTTTTTTTTCCAAACAGTGTGTATTTGCCTCAAACAGAGGCTTGCTGCCGAGTGGGAGAGGTGTTGCTCCCTACGAAAATATCCTTATTCAAGTGGTGGAATTTGTTATTTACGTGACAACGCCTGAACGCTACACAGGCTCCCCTCCATAGACAGGGCTTGGTTATAATTGTCGGTCAGTGTGCTGTGTGCTCACCTGTGTCTGTAGCCCTTTTTAGATAGGAATTGTGCAAATTTTAGTTAATAAGGGGGAAACACTGCCATATGATAAGAAAGGGGCCTGGTGGAAAGCGATCACGGATGCAGTCGTGATGTATATTGCAAGAGATATGGTGCCCATACTGTGGAAAAGCTGGGGTTTATTCGCATGCTTAAAGTTTTGGAGCCCAGGTACGGGCTAAACGAGCTACTGTATCGCATTGTCTTGTCAAATGAACAAATAGAGACTTGACATTAGGCAACAGATATGTTATCCAACAATCATCACTGCATACTTGTATATGACAAAATATCAAAGAACACAAGGAATTATTCATTTAGAATGTATTCAGTCATTCAATAGTTTTAAATATACATATAATGTATTCAGAGTTTGTATAGTTCATGTAGAATAAACATTTAATTTTGTTATGGATTTCTACTGCCTATTTTACCCAAGAAAACAAAAGAAAAGAAAGAGAAGAAAGAAAATCATTACAGAGATGGGTTTGCATATTTGAAGGCATATAACCGATAGCAAGGCTGCAAGGTTGGTTCTGGTACTGAGCTTAACGGGTATGGCCGGGTACGGGTTTTCAAAAATGGACTCCTGCAGGAGTCTGCCCCCCACCCAATGGGCCCCAGTGCAGCCGTACTGCCTACACTGTCTATATTTTCGCCCCTGGTTCAAACAATATCCGGCCCCAAACATAAATGAACAAACAAAATGCCAAATAGTTAGAAAAAAAGACAGACCTTGTTCCCTGGTTGTGGTGGAGGTTGGGATGCCTAGACTCATGCCCTTAGTACAGTTTTTTTTTTTTTTTTTGTTACAGGCTACGGCCCTGTCTAAACTCACAGTTAGACTAGTCAGCGTGTGCCTGAAAGCAGGAGACCTCAGAATCTTATCTAATCTTAATGCGTCACCACAAACTGTTATTAGCTGTTAAACAGGTAACTTACCACTTTCTCCACAATATAAACCAGCTCTACTGCTCTCGTTGTCACAGAGGTAGTCGAGAGTTTTGCCACATAACAGTCCGCTCCTTCCTCAACTCCTCCTAGTTATCTTCCCCCTTCCTTTCCTTTCCATCTGGAGTTTACTCCCTCTGTCTTCTTCGTCAGCCAGCCAAAAGAAGCGGAAAAATGTCCTCAACAACCGTTCAAATCTCTTTCGTCTCAGTCTGCGCACTTACTTACATACTGTCTGGGCTGCTTTATGTTTTTGGTTATTAACACGCCTGATATCCAGTCACCGTCGGTTCAAACATCCAAACAAAAGACACAAACTTGAGGAATTTCACGCAAAGGAAAAAGTTGGCAATTTTAAAATTTACCTTTGAGACTTCCTGTCAGTGCCTTCAAAATAAAAGCCTCATTGTCCCCTCAGAGAGCCAGCGTTAGCTAGCACACCGCGGCACGGCACACTAGCTTTAACTTTTAATATTTGCTAAGACTGTTAGCTGCTGCTTGTTGAAGCTTGTGTGATATCTCTGAGTAACAACGAGAAGGACTCTTCCCTCAGCTTCCTGTCCCTGTTACATTGTATTGTAGCTAAATACAATCAGTATCAATCTCAACATCAACTTAAAGTTGAATTCAGTGAAACAGAGAACAATTTTTTTCACTTTCTTTATTGTGCACAAATTCATTTACAGAAATACAAACAGATACATGAACAAAGTAAACATAAAAAGTAATAATAAGAATAAGAAGACAAAATAAACAAAAGAATAATATATTTACATATTATAAAAAATACCGAGGTTTTAGACTCAGCTTGAGTCTGTCTAACACAAGCTTTACTGGGTCTTTATTTCCCCCAAGGACTTTTCTTTACAATCAACAAGGCACATCATATGAAATTTGAATACAAGTTACAATATTACTATAATGAAAGATATAAAAAATTAATTACAAAATAAAACTTACAAGTGGTCATTCACAAACTAAGGTACACAGATATTCATGCAGACATAGGGCTTTTCCAATTTTACAGCATTTCACACATTTTTTTATAAAGATGGGGCTAGTTTAAAAAAAACAAAAACCTTTGTAAATAAATTTTATCAAAATAAAATTATTAATTGTGTTTTATTGTCCTTTATATATATTTTAAAACCTTTATATTATTTTACAATTTAGAGTCAGAATATTTTGGTCATTTTAAGTCAGCCAATGTTGAAAAAAGTCCCCAAAGGTCCTTGTTAAGTTACAAGAGAAGAAAAGATGCTCTAAGGTTTCAGTGTCTGAGTTTAAAAGTACATATATTTAAAATGCAAATTTAACCTTTGGTGTAAGAAGTCAGTATAGCCTATGTGTAAATCTCAATGATTATTTTAAACTTCTTTAGCCTTAGGTGAAATTGCAAAAGAGAGCTATCTGGCTCTTAGTTTGACTGTCAAATTATTGCTGTATCCTTGGAACATATTTCTTATTATATGTTAAAATGTTACCATGATTATCAAATAAATGAATAATAGACCAGATACCCCTCTCCATCCAGTCTTTACAATAAACGATTTTCTCTTCATTAATAAACTTCTATTATTCCAAAACGTGGGGTACAGTGATGCTTATGGGGGTAGACTGTATGTAATATCTTAAAAGATACTCTCTTAAGCTTATTATTTATACAATTTTTATCACAAATTTTCTATGTTTCTGCTACTGTATATTATTAAATAATGAAGACCAAAAACACCTAGGAGGAGACACAACTTATGAATTACTTCTCACACAGAGATCAGATACACACTGGTTATATTTTCCTTAAGATGGAATTGATGATATATTTAACAAAAATGAAAGTAGGCCCAACAGACCTCTAATGATGTACAATAGGCTACATCTGGTAAACTATTTTAGACTCAGTGGATCAAGAAGTTGTTTTTTTTTTTAAAAAAAAAAAAAAAAAAGATGTGTATGTAATATGAGACAAACATAAAGTACAGACTCTGTCAGCTATGCAAGATTGCACTTAAATCAGCACTCTTTTATTTCATCAAAAAAAGGTGCCAGCTCCGTTACTGCCAGTCTCATATTTGACTCGCAGTGTGTTTCCGGTTGAATTGGATCTTAGCTGTGTGAGCTTGACACAGTCAGCAGAGGAGGTGGAGGTGTCTTGTTTCACTCGTTGCTTCAGTCCTGTCCAGACTCAAATGTGAGGACTGAGCGGTTGGTGGGCTGATCTGTTGGGAATAATGACACACAGCCCTAATCCACAAGAAACTGGATTAGGGTTTGAATACTGTAATTTGTATCTTTAAGAAAAACACAAGAGCAGTAGAGTGAGGAGATGTCGGAAAAATACTGTGGTGTGTCTTTTCTGACAAGTTCCTACACGCTGGTGAGATGTGTCATACACTGCACACCAGGGCCGTAATCACCAATTTAACATGGGGGGACATTTTTGACACCCTCTGTAACCCAGTCCTCCTGTGGGGTCTTGGGGTTAATCATCATACAATAAGTATACAATGTCCAGTTAGCTAGCTAACATTAGCTAGTTTCATATAGCTTACATGCTAACATAAGGAACATGCTACGCGAGTTAGTTGGGGCACTTTGTCAGTCATTTTGAAGAAGACAGCAATTCATCATCTGGATAGGGAACTTCTGAAACTGGAAGTTTTCAGAACGTGGCCAACGTCGCTGGATCTACCTGAGACAGCTGGGCCCTAGTCATTGCCACACATGAAGACGAGAGCTGATGCAGCCACACTCCAGTCCAAGCAGCAATGGCCTTCATGGGAGTGAGGAAAACTTCACCTGCTGCTATGTATGTCCAACATTCGGTTGGAAAATCTATTCATTACACTCACTGCCTTCACATTCTGTTCTCATGGCAAGAAAATTTACATTGTATAAAGTTTGTGGCATCTGATCGATTTCCAATGACAACTTAAATTTCTACAAAATCATCAGTGCCTCCAAGACTTGTCTTCAAGGAAGGTCCTGGCCCTACCTTGTGTGGAAAGGGATCACACTTTAAAGGAATACTTCTACTACTATTCTAGGAGGCACTGATAATTTTGCGGAAATTTAAGTTGTCATTGGAAATCGGTCAGATGCCACAAACTTTGTAAATGTAAATTTTCTTGCCATGAGAACAGAATGTGAAGGCCCAAGAGTGTGCACTGGTATTACAACAGTGACAGTGAGTATACTAGATGACAGAGTGCAAAATGATTTGTGCAGTATATAATACAATCAATTACAGCAGTATGCAAAAGTTTGGGCACCCCTGGTCAAAATTTTGTTTACTGTGAATAGTTAAGTAAGTAGAAGATGACCAGATCTCCAAAGGACATGAAGATGACACATTTCTTCAATATTTTAAGCAAGTCTTAACCAAGACTTTTTAAAATGTTTTTATTTCAGTCTTTTACAGTTTTAAAATAACAACAAAAAAGGGCCTGAAGCAAAAGTTTGGGCACCTGCCTGGGCAGTGCATAACAGTGCCTCCCTTGGCAAGTATCACAGCGTCTAATTGCTTTTTGTAAGAGTCTTTCAGTTCTTGTTTGGGGGATTTTTACCCATTCTTCCTGCAAAAGGCTCCTTGCTCTGTGAGATTCTTGGGCCATCTTGTATGCATTGCTATTTTGAGGTCTATCCACAGATTTTTAATGATGTTTAGGTCAGGGGACTGTGAGGGCCATGGCAAAACCTTCAGCTTGCTCCTCTTGAGGTAGTCCATTGTTGATTTCGAGGTGTGTTTAGCAACATTGTCCTGTTGTAGAAGCCATCCACTCTTCACCTTCAGCTTTTTTACAGATGCTGTGATGTTTGCTTCCAGAATTTACTGGAAATTAACGGAACCCATTCTTCCCTCTACCTGTGAAATGTTCCACGCACCTGCACCCTTTTTTCTCCAAGCATACCTTTGCTCATCGTGTCCAAAAATTTCTATTTTAGCTTCATCAGTCCACAGGACTTGTTTCCAAAAAGCATCAGGCTTGTACAGATTGTTCCTTTGCAAACTTCTGATGCTGAATTTTGTGGTGAGAAGGGTAAGGTTTTCCTCTGATGACTCTTCTATGCAGGTCATATTTGTGGCTGCACAATAGAACAGTGAACCACCACTCCAGAGCCTGATAAATCTTCCTGCAGGTCTTTTGCAGCCAAACAGGGGTTTAATTTGCCTTTCTAACAATCCTATCAGCAGCTGTCTCAGAAAGTTTCCTTGGTTTTCCAGACCTCAACTTGACCTCCACAGTTCCTGTTAACTGCCATTTCTTAATTACATTACGAACTGAGGAAACAGCTACCTGAAAACACTTTGCTATTTTCCTATATTCTTCTCCTGCTTTGTTGGCATTAGTTATTTTGGCTTTCAGAGTGCTAGGCAGCTGTTTAGAGGAGCCCATGGCTGATGGTTCTTGGGACAAAATTTCAGGAGTCAGAGTATTTTTAAAGCTTTGAAATTTCCATCATCTGGCCTTTCCTAATGATGACTGTGAACAAGCCAGAGCCCTAACAAGCTAATTATGGTCTGAGACCCTGGTAAAAGTTGTCTGAGAGCTCAAATGACTTGGGGTGGCCAAACTTTTGCATGGTGCTCCTTTCCATTTTTTCCATTATAAAATTGTACAAAACAAAAATAACACACTGATCTTGCATGAAATGTTGAAAACCACATTTCATCTTCAACTTCATGCCTTTTGGATATCAGGTTACCTTCTAATTACTTAACTATTTACAGTGAATGAAGCTATGACCAGGGGTGCCCAAACTTTTGTATGTACATAAAAAGGACACTAGGTGGCAACATTGATCCACTATCAGTGAGTGAACTCACTCATCTGACAGTCCCTCTTGAAACACAAGTTTCTCATTTCCTTCTATGCCTGTCCCTCAGGGTCTAAAAAAACGTCTTCATTATTTATGACAAAAATAAAAATATTCCTGGCAGGTCAAATAAGTATCACTTAGTATTTCATAATGTTGGCATAATATTTCATCTTTTTGACTGAGCACAAGTATTTTTTATTTTTGTTGTTCATCAACTTCACATCTGCTTTTTTTTCTCTCTCTCTTTGTTGTGGGAACAAGTATCCACAGAAAATGATGAAAGTTACTGTGACGTGAAGTCAGACTCTAAACCACATAAGCTTTTGTTCCCTGGCCTGGATCAAACAGCTGATGGTGCATACTAAGACTCAATAAAAGCTCCAGGAGGACAGAAGCAGCAGGGTGTCTTTATTTCTGTTGCTATAGCTTAACCAAGTCAGCATTCATGATACACAGAGACATACTGGGAAGCTACAGAAGCCTTCAACACTTACAGTACTAGT